GTTCTGGAGTGGTTTCTTTCGGTGAGAAGCTGTTTGCTGTTGTTTCTGCTGTGGGATTCAGCATCTCCTGGAAATGGCGTTTCTATCTTTCCTTAATCTTTGGCTTTCTGAAAATAGGGTTTTCCGTGCTCATCATTGACTATTTCAGTTTGGTTGAATGGTTCTTCCCGCATCCTCATGCTTTTTTAACTCTCTAGTAGAACTCTCAAAGGTTTTCTTTACCTTTTGTTACCTGCTGTTCTCCATATACTGACCAGGATCTGTTCTTAGCTTCTTTTACTACCCTTGATGTATAGCGGCGGTCCTTTCTGTATAGGATATAATCTTCCTCCGTCTTTGATTTCTACCACTTTTTGAATGCCATTTTCTTCAGTTGGACTTCACTTGGTCATTCCACCATATAGTTGTTTTCTTTTTCAGCCCTCTTGTTTTCCTGGTGCCGAACTCTTCTCTCAATGCTCTGTACACATATGCTTTGAAGTGGCTCCATTCCTCTTCCATGTCTCCCAATTTTGGGGGAAATTTGTGAAATACATCTTTCAAACGTTCACGTATCTTATCCTTGTTATTGTCATTTATATTTCTGAGATTTACGACTTCTCATCGTTTCTTTGCTTCTGACCTCTTCCTGTTTGGTGTGTCAATAGTCATGATGACTGGTCTGTGGTCAGTGTCTGTGATGTAGATGGGAATCATTCTTGAGTCTCAGACTTTGCTCAGTTTTGATCTTTTGGCTAGGATAAAATCAATTTGTGATGCTATCTTTAGATCATTGCATTTGTACCAAGTTTTAACTTGGCTCCTTTTGTGTTGGAAGAAGGTATTTGATATGACGAGTTGCTGTTTTGATCTGTTTCCCTGTCACTGTGTGGCCGCATGTATCTCTCCTCCGTCGTCTTCCTTGTTTCCACTCTGCCGTTAAAGTCCCTCATCATTGTCACATTATCTTTGTCATCCACGGTGTTTAAAAGGTCACTCAGTTGATCAAATTTGGCCAAATCAGGGCAAAAATTGATTCACAAAAGCGGTCGCTGCTTCTAAACTAACAAAGATAGCACAACAATTTAAAAAGCTCTGAAAACAGAACGCCAAGCTCTTTTCAATAATCCAAATTTTAGTGCCCTCGGAGAAGTTTGAAAATTTCACTGAAGTGCCTACTTATTCAGTTGCCCCTCCTCTTTACCTGTCAAACGTTCCATCTCTGACAGAGTCCACCCCCCCCCTCCAAACCGCCTTTGTCGTTACACACCATTTAGTTGTGAACCCACCAATTAAAATTCAGTCTGTCTCGCAAATTCGGGAGTACGGACAACTGCTGCAATGATCAAGGAAGAGTTCACGGTTCGATGTGATCCTGCCTGGAGTGAACGTGTAGTCTCTACCCACC